AGGAACCTCAGTTCTTTAGGGATGGATCAAATAGCTGGTATCATCACTTGATGAGCCAATGTGAAAATAGTTTGGGGGCCAGCAGGTGGCATGGTGGTTAAGGATGATGGACTCCCACATGGCCGACCTGGTGGTCTGCTTTCTCACTTTCTCTCTCTGGTCAAATTTAAATAAAATAATTCTTAAAAATAAAGTTTATATTTTTAATCTTTTTAGTTTCTGCAAATATATCACTGATGCCTAGAAAAGAGCTTGGTATAATAGTGGAGACTCAAAAATTAATGGCTGAATGAGTATCAGGTTATTACCTCATAAGCACATGAAACTTTTTAAACCTGAATGTAAGCATGATTGCCTGATAATCCCTGTTAAACTTTATTCTGTCGGCTTCATTCCAGGGTTCTAGACTGTCTAGAAATTTTAAATTTTTTGATTCCTTCACTCGGTACTGAGTATCAACATGCGCCGGGTGCTGGATTATAACAGTAAACCAAATAAACATGATTCCTACCTCTCACGAAGCTTACAGTCTGTATAACAGAAAACACCAGGTAATTCCTGCAGTCTGTATAAGTACTCTTAACGTATACGATTCTAGAAAGTCATTTACTTAGGTGGGGCATCTTTCTAAGCCAAACATCCTGGGTGAGTAAAGGCATCCTGGAGGAATATCTAAAATATAAGTCAGTGGCGGTTAAACAAAGAAAGGAGACCATTCTGGATAGAAGCCATTCCTTCCATCTACCTCCCCGTACAATCAGAGTGCACTTTAGGGACAGGCATTGCCTCTTATTAATCCAGTGTTTAGTTTGACACACAAGGCAGAACAGATGCTCAATGAATATTTCTTTGAAAGAATGGAAAAAATAAAGTCAGAAGTGCTCTCATTCAGAGAAGCTAAGTAGGTTTCAGCTGAAGCTTAAAAATCCATTTTCTTGGGACCAGTAGTTAACATAATGACTATGTCGCTGAACTCCCATGTAGTCGACCGCGGTTTGAGTCCCAGACCCGGTGGCTTAAACTCACGGTGGGCATGTGTGCATGCGTGCCCAAGATCCCAAGAGGAGAATGGAGAAGGGATTATGGTGTGGCCATCCCCCGGGGGGGTAATTTCTCGCTTTCTGTCTGTCTCTCTGGTGAGCTCACGTGCCCTATAGCAAAAAACCTCTAAAAAAAAAAAAAATTCATTTTCTTGTCACCTTTGGATGAGGTGACAAGGAACTAGATAAATGATCTGACCTTTGGATATTCCTAAGTCCAGAATTACTGAACATTTATTCTAAAAATGTAATTTATCTTAAAGTGGCTTTGGTCAAAAATGGACTATTCCTACATTTTAACAAGTGAATATGTAGAATGCTATATAGCAAAAGTTCTCAATTTATGAATGGTAGCTTCCCCAGGACCATGGAGTTACTGTAAAGCTTGCGGAATGTACCAAAGAAAATCTATACTTTCCATATCTGATACAGTAGCCACTAGCTGCAAGTAGCTTCTGAACACTTCAATTGTGGTTAGACTGAACAGAAACATGCTACCGATGTCAAATACACACTGAAGTGCAAAGATTTTTACAAGAAAATAGAACGTAAAATATCTCGTTAATTTTTATATTGACTACATTTTCAAAAAAGTTTTGCTCTAGGGGATGTATGCTCACTAGAGAGAGGAAGAGAGAAAGGAGAAATTACTCCCCAGGGGAATAGCCAGGCTACAATCCCTTCTCCATTCTTGTCTCAGGATTTTGGGCACACACACACACACACACACACACACACACGCCTGGCATGTTTTCCAAGCTGTGCAGTAAGCCATGTGGATCTAGTTGCCTCAACCACCATGCCTTTAGCTGACCCCTTGACTATTTGTTGAAATATTAATATTTTGAGTGTTAATATATGATTAAACTTAATTTCACCTGTTTCATTTTACTCTTTTAATGTGATACTAGAAAAATAGAAAATTATACATGCAGCTCACATTATATGGGATACCACTGCAGCAGACCAAATCAATAATTTACAAAACATGTATTACCATTTAACAAGTATATATGATGATACAATTGAGATTTATTAATTCAGATGATACAATTCAGACTATTAATTAACATATGTTTTGCTGAACTCTTTATGTTCTCTAAAGTACAACCTAAGTGAGAACATCTTTGATGTGAAAATGTTAACACTCAAATGTTGGAAACTACTATTTTCTAGATCATGGGTTAACTTACACATTTTATCTGGGTTCTGGGAGAATGGCGGTGGAGAATAAGTAAGAGGCCGACCAGTGAGTGTGCAAAGCACTTCACGTCAGCTCCTGAAAGAAGCTTTGTGAAAAATGTCCCAACTGTAAGTGAAAGGACAGAAGAAATAGGCCCTAAAATTCCAACCCCTCCTGGGGTGGGGCTTTGCATAGACATGATGGACCAAAAAAGCAAACCCCAAAGGGTTCTAAACTGGGAAGGTATTTTAGGAATGGTGGGTAAGGAATAAAGCGCTCTGTAGAAATAACTCCAGTAATTATTTCCGAAAGAGAAAAGCTATAGAGAATGCCTGGCTTACAGAGACCTATTTGGTCTTTTTGAGGATCTAAATTAAGTATTATTTGTTTTATATGCATAAATATAATTTATATATCTGTTACATATCCACAAAATATAGTAACTTTTACTAGGTCACATAAATGCTATCCATCTGTAGTAAATTGGGAATGATATTTTCTAATTCATCAGGTGCCATTTGTCATACTTTATACTGAGGAATAAAGAGAAATTATTGCCAAATCCAAAGATACTCAAGAGTAACAAAAATACACCTAAATGGTTTCTGCTAGCCTTTATTTGAGAAAATTTACACAAAACCCCCCACATCAATCCTTACAAGTGAATCTGTATAAAACCCACGTCTCTTTCCATTAAACAAAGAAAAATGGCTTCATGACAGAGGCTCATGACAACGGTACAACAAAACTTACTTAACCTGTATCGTGCTCATTTATAGTTTACAGAGCATTTTGAATCAGATGCTCAAAAATGGAGGGAAGCAAATGACATATCTGTTATTAAAGCTGATTTGCCCTTGTACTAGCCTTTTGCTTTTTAGATAAAATCAAGGCATATTACCAATTAACTTTAAACCAAAAGCGCAAATGTCCAAGTTCGTAGTTTTGGCATGAGTAAAAAGAAAGGACATGAAAGAATTTCACTTCCACAAAGTTCTAAGTTTAGAGTCACACTTGGGAGCAAAAGCATCAACAAAATAAAATATCTCTTCTCCTATGCTCTTCTTTGACATTTTATCAGAACAGAAGACCATATCTAATGGAGTTTTCATTACTCCTAAAAAGGAAAAAAGGCACAAGTTGGAAATTTGAGAGTATCTTGTTAGATTAATAGCACATAGAATTTCGCACTTAAATGTATAAGGATGACTCTTAACCCACAAATGTGTTTATTCCTTTCCCTGTTTGGATGTAGCCTCTGTCACTTAGTATATGGAATTCTACTGACAGACTTCCCCAACATCAGCTGTCCCTATGGCAAGGCTTCTACCGCAAGGTCCTCAGTGTAACACTTACCAATTCTCAACAGCAGATGGCAATGTCTCACAGATTAATGAGAGAACCACTTTTATGCCACACAACAGGAATATTCAGGGAGTCAAAAGAAGGGGAAAAAAGGCTGGTGTGTGTAGTAGCTAGACCGTCAATAGAACAGGCTGAGACTTTAACAACATAACTCATTCCCTCTTCTATTTTCAGACTTTGGTCAGGTCAACACAACAGTGTTCTCTGATAATTCTAATATACTGCTTCTATACTGCTACATGGCCCTAACTCCTGTAATTCTTGCCACTGCAATTAGATATTCCTGCAATGGCAGGATTAAAAAGAGATTACAGAAAAGATAAACTCTTATTTACTTTCTTGGTAGCTAGCTATGGAGTGACAGTATTGTTCATCTCTGTTCTTGAACATGGTCATTTGTATCCACATTTTTTTCTTATTTACATTAGTATTAGCCTTAAGGGACCTCACATTCCCATAATGATTCTTGGCTTTGCCTTTACACATATTTTCAAGTAGTTACTCTCTTCGTGACTCTCACAGTTGTCTATTTTATACTAAATACCTTAACTCTCTAAATGGAACATGTAAAGAGAGAAACTAAATCAGTGACTAGCTATGCAAGAAGACTAGGTAAATTTTACTTTTTTTTTTGGTAGAAATTATGTTAAAAATTCAAGAAATCACATATCTGACAGAGGATTTATATCTAGAATATATAAGGAACTCTCAGAACTCAACAGTAAGTACAAACTATCTTAAAAATGGGTAAAAGACATGAGAAGACATTTCACCAAAGAGGTTATATAGATGGTAAACAAGCATGTGAAAAGCTGCTCAACATCACTAGCCATTAGAAAATGCAAATCAAACCGTAATGAGAAACCTGCCTATCCAAATGGCTAAATGAAAAAGAAGAAGAAGAAGAAGAAGAAGAAGAAGAAGAAGAAGAAGAAGAAGAAGAAGAAGAAGAAGAAGAAAAAAAACAAGTAACAATGCCAAATGCTGGTGAGGATGTGGAGAAACTCTATCTGTCATACATTGCTGGTGGAAACGTAATGTACATGGATGGTCACAGTAGCTTTATTAGTAACAAGTCATGTGTCCTTCAGTAGGCAAACGTCTAAACAAAGGGGATACATCTATAAAACAAACTATTAACACATGCAACGACTTGGATGGGTTTCAAGGGAATTATACGGAGTAAGAAGAAATCAATTTCAAAAGGTTGCATTCTTTATGACTCTATTTATGCAACATTCTTGAAATGACAAACTATGGAAGTGGAGGACGAATCAGTGGTAACCAGAGATTAGGTGAGGGAGTAGGAAGTTGGCTGTGGCTATGAAAGGGCAACATGAGGGATCAGTGTGACACGACTGTTCGGTGTCTTGCAATGGTGGTCACATGAGTCTACATGTGATAAAATTGCATAGAACCAAATACACATAACACAGAAAAAAGCTTGAGCATTTGAGCACAAATATTTTAATGGTCTAGAATGCAATTTTCTTTAAGAGTTGCCTGTAGTTCAAAGCTCACTTTTAGGAGGTGTCACATCCATCAACCTTTAAAGAGACACAACATCATGAAAGGATGTCTCCAGAAGCTATGTAAATATTTCAGCTAAGGGCCAAAGAAAGTTAAGGGTGTTTTCACAAGGAAATCCAAAAAGGATAATCAGAAAGAAGTCTGACATGGTCAAAGAAATCTTGGTAGAGGAATTAGAGCAGAAGCCCAAGCGGGTGAGCAAGTGGGAGAAGGAAAGAAAACATGGTTCAAACAGATCACACGAGGAAACCCAGTAAAAATGCTGACTTTGGCATTATCTAGGTGACCCCTATTTTTTTTTTTTTTTTTGTCATTAGGTGACTCTAAAATAGTCTTATTGTTGCGAAACCAGTCCAAATCCTACCAAGTTAAAAAGAAGTCCCTTAATGACTTGCTGGGTGAAGGTGGTACCCCGTGTCCTCCCATATCAAAAGATCAGTTCTGGCAAGAAAGCTCCAACATGCCTTGATGATGCTGTTGGTAGGATGCCAGAGGCCTGGCACGTCCCAGCGATGTTCTGCTGGCTGAGATACAAGGTGGGAGGATATGGTGTCTCATTATTCAATCAATTTCTTGGCCTTGAAGAAACGACGCAGGTAGAAGACCTGCCAGGTAGCTAGTCCAATGAGGCAGAACATTGAAAAGATGCTGAAGTAAAGGACCCGAGTGTTTGTTGACTCTGAAAAACAAAAGGATTGCAAATATATGAAATGAACCTACTCAATGGGCTAAGCTATGGAGATTAACTAACTTTCTTTTGTCCCTAGATCTAACAGTAGGATTTCAGAGAATTAAAACAAAAACAAAACAAAAAATCTGTTATCCTATATACAAATGTTAAACGTTACAGAGATTAGTACTATTAATTTGATATGCTATAAGCTAACTGAAAATACGACCAACTGTGTACCAAACAAGAAATTCCTATGTGCTAAAAATCTAGTGAGACTCATATCTTTAGCAGCAGCAAAACTGAAGCAAGCAATTTTCCTTCCATACACTCGTCTCTAGGAAAACCGAGAAAAGGATCCACCAGAATTTAAAGGTTGGGGACTGTCACCTTTATGGCTCAATTATTGAGAAATGAGGGCCTCTTACCATTGGTATCACGCATCTCCTCCTCTCGCTTCTTCATGTAGGCAAAATCATTAACAATAGACTCTGAGAGGTCTTCCAGGCGTCGGAGCTCCACCTCTAATGGTTTGAGCTTCTCAACTTTTGCTATCTGGAAAAGAAAGGAGTTAGGCGTTTACTCCTTGAAAAAATGCTCTGGAAAAGAATATAAGACAACAGAACAGTCTTTTTAAAGATTTACCAGATTTAAAATCTCTCCTGTTTACCATACTTGTTTTTGCCATAGGGTGTGTGTGTTTGCCAGACAGGAGAGAGACAGAGACAGACGGATAGAGAAAGAAAGAGAAATCACCCCCAAACTGCCAAGAGGGGACAGCCATACTCCAATCCCTTTTCTATTCTCCTTTTGCGATCTTGGGGATACATACACAGGTGCCCCGCATGATTTTTGAAGTCATAGCATCTGGAACTCTAACTGTGGTCTGCTGTGTAGGAATACAGCCACCTTAATCACAACACTGCTTGCTGGCCCCGCCACCCTAAAATTTTAATATTCGAACTTCTTCCTCTTATGAACTGTTATCTTTTCATCTCAGACCCCTCACCTTTTTTGAGAGGTTTTTGCTATAGGGCGCGTGGACTCGCCAGACAGACAGAGAGAGACATAGAGACAGAAAGCGAGAAATCACCCCCCAGAGGGGATGGTCACACCGCAATCCCTTCTCCTCCATTCTCCTCTCGGGATCTTGGGCACGCACACACACGCGCCCGGCGTGAGTTTAAGCCACCAGGTCCGAGACTCAAACCATGGTTGACTATGTGGGAGTCCAGCAACATAGCCATTACGCTAACTGCTGGTCCCTCAGACCCCTTTTTAAAACAACAACAACAACAACGACAACAACAAAACCCATTTTAATACTGATTAAATCCTCTTTAGAAGGTCATGAGAAAAGAAGGGCTTGTTTCGGTGCCGCTATTTCTTCCGCCTTTCCCACAATGCCACGCTGAGACAGAGCATCAGGAGATTCACGACCTCTACAGTCCGCAGGAGCCACTATGAGGAGGGCCTGGGAAGAAATCTGCCATTTCCAGGGGAAAGCACGTGCTGGTTACTCGCTATGATGACTGTACTTTGGATCTGGGTTTGCTGCACCTTTCTTTATAGAAAGACACCACCACTTAAGAAATAAGGATGCTTTAATTCATCCATTTAATAGATACGAAGGACATTTTAAGAGGTGCAGTCATAGTCTCTGAAAAATGGATCAAACTCTTAAACGCATAGCATACTAGATGTCTGCAAATAAACTTATGACGTGCAAAAAAAACCTCTTTAGAAGTGCTATAATACAGTAAAGTATAATGTAAGCTTTATTTCCCTGAGAGTCCTGACTTTAATAAAGCATTTTTCCATTCAATGCATAAGAAATAAATGCTATTAGTAATAAGTGTGAGAGTCATAATAGGTCAAACCTGGTTTTAGAAGAAAAGCCACTGAATTCTCAGAGTACACAACAAGAGAATATTTACCATTATTATCTAAAACTCAAAATATACAATTAGAGAATTCTGGTTTGCTTATACAAATCCTACAATTCTAAGACTTACATGAAAGCTCACAGCCAAGACGAATCCTAGGTCTGCTCAAAAATCTGCATTACAGTGGCACAGGTGGTAGTGCCAAATGGAAATGGGAGGACCCCAGGTTCAGATCCTGGGTCTCTCTGACCAGGATCTCAGTGTGGTGAGGCCCTGTCAGGATTCTCTTCCCTCACCCTCTTTCTCTCTAAATACATAAATAACACTTTTAAAAACTGCAGTTTTGCGGCTAGTGGGTAATGTAGTAGTTAAGGCGCTGGACTCCCACGTGGCTGAACATAGTTCAAGTCCTGGACTCGGCGGCTTGAAACTCACGCCGGGCACGTGCGCTTGCATGCCCTAAATCCCAAGAGAATGGAGGAGAAGGGATTATAGTGTGGCCATCCGTCCTGGGGGATTTCTCACTTTCCCTCTTACTATGCATGTCTCTCTCTGATGAGTGTGTGCACTCTAAGGCAAAAACCTCTCCAAAAAAAAAGTTTAAAAAAAAGAAAGTAACTATCTTCCTTTCTTAACCTAGACCACTGAGAAACCTGTTTTTATCCTTTTTCTCCACATTAGTTTGGTCCCCAAACTGAGGCAAATTAAAATGATTGATATGGCCTCAAATACCTGATACATAGTAAACACCTGTAATCTTGTCTAAAATTGAGTGGATTCCTGGTAGTATTTTTTGTTCCTATAGTCCTGGCTAGGAGACTGACACAGTAAAATCTCATCTTAAAATCAAAAACAAAAACAAATCAGAATTGGCCTTGTAGCTCAAAGATTAGGAGAGCTGAATCTTATGTGGCTGACTACAGTTCAAATATAGGCCCTCGTGATTTGAAAAACATGTCAAGCACATGTCTGTGCATGCCCAAAATCCTGAGGGGAAGGAGGAATGGGAGGAGAAAAGGACTATGGTGTAACCATGCCCCATTGTGGGAGTGGGGGCGCTTTCTCCCTCTCTCTGGCAAATATACATGCCCTCTGGCAATAAAAAAGTAAATAAATTTCTAAAATTACAAAAAAAAATTGTTTTGTTTTTAAATATTTAAAGACTCTGACAACAATGTTTTTTTTTTCAGTGTTTACTATGTGCAAGGCACCAAGATAAAGCCCACTCTAAAGCTCAGTCTGGTCGAGAGGCTCACATAGAAAGCCATAACGGAAACAAGAGGCATGGTATGTATCAACCTCGACAACGAAGACACACATTAGAAGCAAAATGAAAAGAAGGTAGCGAGAGACTACCTCTAGCTAAAAGGGTAAAGGAAAGTTTAACAGGAAGTGGGTAAACTGGATCTCATGAGTTGGATCTCATGGGTTGGGCAGGATTTTAAAAGATGAGACAGAAAGACATTCAAGAACGAAAGGAACTTGCAAAACAAAACGTGAAGGGAAGAAAGTGCATGTTTGGGAAACCATGAGTAGTTCAGACCTAAGTAGTCTGATGAGCTCGAAGCTAGAATACAGGGTGTGTGTGCATGTATAAACATATATGGGGCCAGCAGTTGGCATAGTGGCTATGTCACTGGACTCCTATGTAGTCGACTGTGGTTCAAGTCCCAGACCTGGTGGCTTAAACTCATGCTGGGCGCTTGTGTGTGCCTGCCTAAGATCCCAACAGGAAAATGGAGGAGAAGGGACTGTAGCGTGGCCTTCCCCCCAGAGGGGTGATTTCTCTGTCTCTCTGTTTCTCTCTTTCTGGTGAGCACACACGCCCTATAGCAAAAACCTTAAAAAAAAAAAAAAAAAACCCAAACATATGCACGAACACAATTGTGCCTAGGAAAAAGTATGGAGAACAGCACGTAAGACTCAAAAGTGAGGAGGAAGTTAAATTGGGGACGCAGACAACTTGCACAAACTGAGACTGGACCCCAAGTCTATCTGAGTTTACACTTTATTCTACAGGTACCAGAAGGCTGAAGGAGAGAAACACTAAGTTTTTCCTGAATCAATAGTGATCAAGCTATGCTGGGCTACAAGGATCTGGATGAACTGTCCAGTTAGTCTGAGTGATCAAGTTTGACTGATAAACTTTCTAGTTTCCCCGCTATTATTTTAATGGTTTTATAGGCAATAGAGTAAGATTTTAAAACAGATGAAAAGCATTCTCAAGAAGACCCTCCTTGTTTGCTCAGGATGAAGCATTCAATGACTATCAGAAGACTTTGTGCCCCAGTCAGTACAAAAAGCAAAGAAAATCTCAAAATCATAATCCCCACTGACTACTGTTCTGCTCTTCTAAACATCTGATTTCACGCTCAGAGGATCTGTAACGATGCCAGATTAGACATGTTCCATGGAAGCAGGCTGGGATTCTTCTAGTCTACTTCTGTCCCCCAGGGCCTGAAACATGCCTGGGCTGTGCTTTGCTAACAGCGTGATAAAAGCTGTCTCCAGGATGTGGGCCTCAGGTTTTCCACTAGGGGGCAGTGCTCCCCTGGAAGGCTGCAAGTTGCTGTCCAATAACCAAAGGATGTCAGAGCTGCAAGGGACTTCGTTTTCCAATGAGCCCCTCACTTTACAAATGAAGAAACTGAAGATGTGAAATTACACGGCCCTCTGGGTGGCATCCCAAGGTCTCTTGACTCCCTATCGAGAGTCACTGCCATTTATTCAGTGTTGGTACTGTGACACTCGGCCATAAAAGAACAGAATTCCTGACTTCTAAAAGCACACTCAGTGTACCCAAATCCTGTCTATTTTACAAACAATGAAGTTTCCTTTAAGGTCCAAACCAAGTCCTTCCTTTCCTAAAGCCCTGCAGCACTGAGACCGTGCCACACAATTAACAATCATACGTGTCACAGTCACAAACTGTTTTGCTTTTTTGTCCCCCTCATACTAGTTTGGCCCCTGAACTCAAGGAAATTAAAATGATTTATAGTTGGTATGGTCCCAAGTAACTGATACATAGTAAACACTTGTAACTGACCTGTGATATTTATTCTTTGCTTTTTTTAAAGGAGCCAACCTTCTCCTGGTAGGTAAGTGTTGCTGGTCCCCTGAAGCAACACAACCAGACTAACAGATGCACTCTGTATCGATTTTTCACTCAGCATTCATTTTCAGGAGGCCGACTGCCTGAGAGAAAGCCCTCTCTACCACAATATCTAGCACTCTCATCTACAGTTTGGAAAAGCTATGTTATAAAGCCTTTCCTTGAATGTATGTGTGTGTGTGCATGTGTGCATGCATATACTCACACACACAACACCTCCAAAATTAAACTCTCTTAAACCATATCTAAATCTACTCTAATGATGATCTGAATCTAAAGAGTTCACAGTTATATGTAACTGTGCCAAGGAAAGGTGTTAACTCTCTAAGAAACTTCATTTTAAAACACAGTTGTGAACCCAGCCTCTAGAGAGAATCTGGATTCTTTTCCTTGGTGGAACATCAACACACAGAGAGAAGCTTCTTATAGCAAGCCAAATTCAGCAAAATTAGTTCGCTGTCTCTATACTACCACAGTCCCCACAAACTCCAGAGCAATAGCAACACATGTGAATATTATCTAGTCTAACACGATCAAGAGAAAGATGACAGGCCTGC